CACGTTGTTCCCCGACCGCATCCACCTTCTTCCCTTCTGGATGCCCCAGATGGACGTGGATATCAGGAAGCCCGCTACGCGTCGATTCGGTATCACCCGGCCGCTCGCCAGCACATCTCTTTCCGCCAATGAAACGCCAGAAGACGACGAATCGGACGAGGACGAGTCGGACGAGGGGCAGGCGCGTGCCAGGGCTGCCACACGCGATGCACAGCACTCAGTGACCGGGGCCGACCAGAGTGCCTTGTTCGAAGAGGCAGACGGGAATGCTCTGGACATCGAGGAGCGCATCGCCGCCCAGCCGCTCCCCGGCGACGAAGATTATCCATTATATGATTCGGACGAGGAATCCATCGACTCTGACGAACTAGAAGAAGCGCGAAGGATCGGGGGCGGCTACTACTACCAGAAGCTGGTCGAGTACTACATTCATCGCATGGGCCAGGCACTGATCAACGGGCTCAAGGCCATTGCGCCTGGGCCGCGGCCCACAAGCCTGCCCGAACCCGAACAGAACGGCATCTCAGTCATGGGCAACAAACGGATAATCAAGCGATTCGTCGCTCCAAAGGGTAAACGTAAGTCTGCTCCTTCAATCTTTTCTGTCACGTCAAGTCTCACGCATACAGGCATCCACGTCCCCATCCGCGTCGAACCCAAGGTCTACTTCGCCGCCGAGCGAACCTTCCTCTCCTGGCTGGAATTCTCCATCCTCCTCGGCACCATCGCTGCAACTCTGCTCAACTTCGGCAACGACTACATTACCTTCGCTTCCTCGTGGGCGTTTACCGTCCTCGCTGCCATGGCCCTCGTCTACAGTCTCATGCTGTACATCTGGCGTGTCGACAAGATCCGAAAGCGCCGCGACGTCAAACGAGTCTACTATGAGAAATGGGGTCCCACGGTCGTCGGGATTGGTCTTGTGGTTGTGATGCTAGTGAACTTTATTCTGAGGGCGCGTCAGACCGGCTTTGCCTCTCGCGATGGAGACCGGGGTTTCGGTCATGGTCGGGGATCAGCCGGCGGAGAACTCTAGTCTGACTGCTTCGCTCTAGTGTACGATCGTTATGCTTGAACATGGAACAATTGGCTGTTCTTCCTTTTGTTTGTTTGTAGTACTATTGTGATTACGAACCGGACTCGACGAAAGGGAATGGATAAAAGTGTGCTTGGTGGTCGCTATCTGAAGCTAAGCTATACAGTATCCACCAGATTAAAGTACATTCCTCTAGTTATAGTTCACAACCGGGACAACGGTGTCCTTCAGACTGACCGCGTGGGGGTTACTCTTCTCTACGCCGGAGTACTTGTTAATCCAGCCGAGGACCTGCTGATGCCACACGAGGCTGTTCTCGGGTTTGACGACCCTGCACAACATCGTTAGACAAAACTCCACGTGACATGTACATAAACAGGCAGGAAACTCACCAGTGATTCTCATCCGGGAAGTTCAAGAAGCGACTCGGCACGCCGCGCTCCTGCAGCACGTTGAAGAGCGATAGACCCTCCGCGACGGGGAGCCGGTAGTCCTTGTCGTTGTGGATGACGAGCATGGGGGTATCGAACTGGAGGATGCGCTCCGGGGCGGACGGGTCCCAGCGGCGGTAGTTGTCGCGGGCGCCCCAGAAGGTTCCGTTGAACTTTTTAGAGCAATTAGCTTGTTATGAAACAAAATGGGAGGGGCTGCGCTTGCTTACCTCGCGCTGCATGAACCACAGCTCCTCAGTCGAGATCTTGGCGTCCGCGACGAAGGTGCCGTCGTGGCTGACCAGGGCCTTGAATTTCCGGCCCAGAGGGCTACCCTGGATCCAGTTGATCATGAAACCGCCGTAGCTGGCGCCTGCGGCGACGCCGTGGTCGGTGTCGACGTAGTCGAGGTGCTCGTGGATGTATTCCCAGCACTTGACGAGGTCGTCGTAGGGGGCGCCGCCTGAGGTTCTTGTTAGACTATTTTGTTCTGAAGAGGGGAGAGGAGGGGAGTTCCTTACCCCAGTTGTTCTGGATGGCGTCCGTGAGGGCTTGGCCGTATCCAGTACTGCCTGTCGGGTTGGGTGCAACCACGACATAGCCCTGGTCGGCCCAGGCCTTGGCGTTCCATCTGTTGCTCCAGCCATCCGCCCAATTGCCTTGGGGTCCGCCGTGGACGAAGAAGACCAGAGGGTACTTCTTTGACTTGTCGAAGTTCTCCGGGTAGATGACCCAGGCGTGAATCTGTGTTTGTGTAAGTCACGAGGATCAAAAGCCAGTAGGATGGGAACGTACATCTGTGAAGTTGCCCGGGTAGTAGAATTCGCTAATGTCGGAAGGACCTAGTCCCTTGAGCTCGGGATCGATCTCATTGGCAGAGGCAATGGTCTTGATCACTCCCTTCTCCGGTTTAGCGGTGTAGACGTTCCAGTTCGTCCAGAGGGCGCTGCCAGTTACGAGCAGACTGGAATCGGGCAGGAAGTAGTACGAGGACGCCGAACCACCATCGGTAAAGTTCTTGGGCTTGTAATCATCCTTTGCGTTGGCGGGGACAGAGAAGAGTCTCGTGCGACCCTTGTCTTCACTTCCGACGATCAGTGTCTTGCCGTCGGCGGTCCACTTGATGGTCTCAGGGGAGCGATCCCAGTCTCCTGCGACACTGGAAATGGTCTTCTTCGAGCCGAGAGTGTAGACGTAGAGGACGCGACGGTCAGATTCGTACGACTCGTCTTTCATCTGGACGTAGGCAATTTTGTCGCTCTTGGGGGAGAACACGGGGCTGCTTGAATCACCCTTGATACCCTTAGGGGTGCCGGGGCTGTCGGGGCCATTGATGGGAGAGGCTTTTTCCGAGGCATCATGGGGAACAAGGTAAATATAGGATGTGGTGAAATTGGCCTTGGGAAGCTCAGGAGCCTTGCTCTTGAAAGCGACCCACTTGCCATCGGGAGAGAGGTCATAGTCAGACGCTCCACCGAACGGCGGGTAGGGGCTCTCGGCATTCTTAACGGGAGAAACCAGGTTCTTGAGTTCTCCGTCCAAGCTGTAGCCCTTCTTTCCCTGGCCCTTCTTCAGAGTGCCGGAGAAGACTGCGTTGAAGGTGGTGCTGAGGTAGTAATCCCAGTGGCGCACGTAGATGCTATCGTAGATGCGAGCTGTGCTCAGAGGAGCGGCAGCCAGCTCTTCGTTGTACGCGGTTCCATTGGGATACGATTGGCCGTACGCTATGAACCGAATGTCGCCAGACTTGGTCTTGGCAGTCTTCAAACCTGAGAACGAGGCCGGCAGAGAGGCTGCCTTATATCTATATTATGTCAGTTAGCTAGCCTTCAGAACGAGATGACAGGAAGGCGTATATACCCGTTGGCAAAGCTCGAAGCCTGAGTCACCCACAGCTCAACACCGCCCGGGATGTCTGCATTGGTGCCATTGACGTAGAGAATCGAGTCGTCGGAGCCCAACCAGACAATCTCGGACACACTGCTGTCATTGGTGAGAATCTTGGTTTGACCAGTCTTCAGGTCCAACAGACTCCACCACGAGGTCCGTTTGTGCGTCTCAAACGAGTATTGCGACGTCGAAAAGACCGCAACTTTCTGGGAGCTTGTCAGCTAATATCCTTATACGACCAGCAATTGTAGCCTCGGACTTACACCAGATGGGTCAGGGATAGCTTCAGACCTCCGTGGAGCAGAGATTAACCCCCTGTAAATCAACGGTTCATTAGAATCGCTGTTCGAAGCCATAGCCTTGTCAAATGTCAACAATCCCACTCACTCAGGCGTAAGAGCCAATGCGGTCGATGCCGCAGCGGCAATAGAGAGCCAGCGAAAAGCTCCCATGATGGACTCGATCTCAATCGAAACAGAATCCTTTTTTCTTGAGAGATGGACCAGAATCCGAGCTGGGGTGCTGACGAGGAGCAATTTATGTATTCCCTTGCTTGCCGCGGCCACCTCCGCAATTTGCCCTGCATCGGACAATCATAATGAAATAAGCTGTAATCAAAATCAGTCATCAACAAATTAATGACCATTAATTTCCCCCAGCATTGGCCATGCGGCATCCATGTTCCTTGGTCCATGATCCCTGAGGACCTGCCTGATAAGGGTAGAAGCTATTATCGCCACTAAACCGCTCTCAGCAATGATAAACAAGTTACATCCATGGCGCTCGTATGGAGCCCATTCGGCACGCTAGGAATGGGCCTCGGACAGCTTAGCTTGCTCGACGAGGGCGGAAAGCGCAGGAACTCAGGGCCATCTTGGACGCTGTCTCGGTCCCCACAGTCTTGGGTTACAATGCCAAGCATCGTCGAAGCATTTGGACGCGAGATGGCGCCATTCGTTGACAAAGAATGCTGACATTGTCCATCAACCGCAGGATGTCAGCAACTAGGTAGGCTGGGCTTCTGTCAGCTTTGCCGATGATAGCCATTCTATCATGACATTGGAGCAATATCGACACTAATGGTCAATGAATAACCTGCCGAGTTCCCGTCTTATTGAACTGGGAGACCAATCCGAGCTAGCATGAGTGTGTGTTTCTTGGCTCTTTGTCCCTGCGACATTGATTGGACCAGAACCCATTATAATGGTCTAAGAGGATGCCTCGGTCTTGATGGTCTTGGTTCCCCCCAAGGTGGATATTGAGATAAGTTGGTCTCTGATGATGGTTGGTTGACAAAGTCGATGGGGATTCAATCATAACGGAGAAGGAAGAAACTCCGACGGGAGCCCACTCGCCAAGACATTTGGATGATGACCAGCCACGCTCGGCCTCATTTCTGCCAATATTTATCTATCTACCACTGATAACATCGGCCTGTTAGTCTGCGGGCCATTGGCTACGTCGCATGGAGTGAGACATTGAGAAGATAGCTATACGCGGTTGCTGTAGGTCAGCGGACTACGAAATAATTGAGCATTATGCAATTGGAGCCACTAATGGCTACTTCAATTCGGACCGACATCCATGCCATTATGTAGTCAACCGACTATCTATCCTACAACATAGAGATGCACAGCCTCCGCTCAATACTCAAAGTCATCATCCACGCCTCCTTTGCCAGTGTTTTCTTTCAGGCCAGCCTCTTGCTTGCGATACATCTCCGCCACTGCCCTCGTGGTCGTGGCCTGCTCGGGCTTCTTGTCGTCGCGTGATTTGATGAACCGTGGGAAGCGAAGAGAAATGCCCTTTCCACCACCAGTGGTTCCCACGAATTCATCGGCAGCAGCCTTATACCGAGGGCTCAGGGTCAGATCCGCTGTCTTCACCTCCCAAACCAACCGTGGTTCAAACCACACATCGGGTTGATCCTTGGGGACATTGGAATGGGAGTAGAACGGTTTGGGCCGGTCTATCGTCAAAGGCGAGAGTTCTTTATAGAGCTCTTCCAGAAGCGCTTCTGAGAAGCCTGTGCCAATGTTGCAGATCGTCTCGTAAGTCTGTGTGCTTGTATTGTACGCAGCCAGCAGGAAAGCTCCGTAGACAGACGTCCGCTTGCCCCGACCATAGTAAGCACCAAGCACCACAAGGTCAAGGGAGTCTCCAACGCCTGCGAGGTAATCCTTCTTGACCTGATAGATGTCAGCTGGGTCACAGTTTGGACAGAAGTAGGCATAACGAAGAATACCTTTAGCCAATTCCGACTTCGTTTGCTGGGCTCGTAGCCACTCTCTTCCGTATCCAGCATCTTCACCATCAGCCCTTCACATGACGCCTTGACACTCTCGTCCAGCAGATTCTGAATCTCTTCCAGATCATTCGTATCGCCATGCTGAGCGAATTGGAATTCGCCCTCAACAACCTCGAATGACTTGTGCAGAAGCTCGCGACGTTCGCGTAACGTCTTCTTGACAGTAGGCTAACCACAAGTCAGTCTCGAAGATTTCAGTACAAGTAGGTTAGCGGGAAGCTCACTTCGCCATTCAAAAACAAAAGATCAAATGCAAAAATGCAAACTTTGACCTTGACATCCTCTGCTTTGACATCCTTCCGCTTACGAGTCATAAGCTGTTGGAATGGTAGAACCTTCTTGTTCACCGTGTCCCAAGCCACCGTCTCACAGTCCAAGACAAAGCTCTTCACTCCGTCCTTGACCCAAGTCTCGAGTTTGGCCAGCACATCAGGATACTTCTTCGACAAGTCTTCCGAGTTTCGTGAGAAAATCGCACTAAGGCCCTTGGAGTCCTTTTGCAGGGTAGCTTTTGCCCCGGGGTAGTGGTGAACCACATCGGGTGCAACGTAATGGATCTGAGCTCGCTCACCATCATACTTATACTCGCAGGTGAAATCCTTCCCTTCGAATCGGTTGAGCACCTCGGTGATAGACTTGGTAGGTTTGGCAAGCATGGGCTTGATGGGAATTCCCGGTTGTAGCTTGCACATCTTGGGTAAGTTGAACAGGCCATGCTCGAGCATTGCAGGGATGATCACTTCGTAAGCGGGTAGCTCACTGTATACCGTCTTTAGGACAGCTTCGCCCTGCGCCATCTTCTCAGGAGAAGGTGTCTTTTCGCCTCTAACAGCAGCCTCATGGACCACCACTGCTTGAGCAAGAGCCACGAGGACGGTCTTTTCTGCCAAGCCAAGTCTCAACTTGCCCTCCAGGAATCGAACGATGAACTTGGCTTCGCTGGCGCCTCCTTTGTCCTTTGTAATGTCGACGCCCTTGCCACCTTTGCCCGCCGTTGCCGCATCGGCAGCGGACAGAAGCTTCTTGATCGCGGAGATCTTCTTATCTTGAGATCCTTGGCCCTGGATTTTGGCAATAGCGATCAGACCTTCATGCACCCCTCTGACAGTCAAGGGCTTGGGTTTGAACATGGTGGGCTGGTTTGATCGACTCTTGGCAGCTACCAAGCCCAAATCGCCAATCTCATGTTGATCTGCTTTGATCACAGCCAGACTACGCCCTGTACTTTCGCCGATTGCCTTCATGATGAACGATTCGCCAATACCCAACTCGATTCCGGCATAGTCTGCGGCTAATTTGTTGATCATCAGTTGAACCGTTGGAAGAAGGTCTTGCGGTGTCAAACGGAGGACTTGGCGGAGGAAGAGAGAGCAATGGGCCAGAATGATCAGTCGCTTCGTGGTCATCTCGATGAGAGAAAAGGTCGTGCAGAGAGCTGCGTAGGGAACCGGTTCACCAGGTTTCCAATCAGGATACGGTTCCGTGCCGGTCGCTTTTAATGTGGCCTGCACCTTTTCCATCGTCTTCTTCATCACTTCGGGCTTCTCGTCTTCTTCTTCCTCTTCGCTAGCGGTCGCGACCTCTTCTTCTTCCGAAGGCTCCGTTTCTTTCTCTGGTGTTTCCTCGCCGGATGCCTTTTTCACGATGGCAGGTGGCGAGCTTTCCTTGGCCTCGGCCTTGCGAGTTTTAGAGCTCTTTGGCGACGGCGACTTTTTTCGTATGGTGGAAGCCGCTTCTCGTGAGCTCTTCCGGCGTCTTTTCTGTACTGGTTGAACATCCGAGTCACTTGCCTCATCGCTGCTCTTTTCTCGTTTGAGAGACTTGGAGCCTGGAGAGCCGTTCGTATGGGCCACCTCTGTGTCCGGCAAATCCTCCATTTTTACATCTTCGCCATTAGTCGGCTCTCCCTTCGCTTCGGTGATAGTTGAAGGTTCCTCAGTTTTCGCTTGTTCGTCGGCAACATCGCTCTTCTTATCTTTCTTGTTCGAGAATGACAAAGTCGTTTGCTTTTTAGGTGCGGTCTTCGACCCCTCCGCATTGGAGCCGAAAAATCGCCTATGTGGTGCAGACCATATTCGTCAGCACAGTCAAGTTGCGTAATAATCGCCATGCGGAGTGATCGGTCCATCTAAGCAACGCACCCGAGGGTCAATTGAGAGTCTCGAACATACCCCAATGTAGCTTGTTTCCTACCCTTAGAATCTGCCATTGAAGAGCGCGTAGTAATGGCCAAAGAGCGATGAGTGGTGGAAATGAGCGGACAAGTGGCTCCAGACAAGAACACGGGTCTGCTGTAACCAGTAAAGGTCCGCAGTAAAGTGCGATATGAATATCTAGTTTTTACAGTGAAGGCGACAGGTCCGCGGCAATAATGCGATAGAGGCGCAATGGATGCGGAGATGCGGGGACTGGTCATAGGTGTCACAGCGACACTTTCAAAGGCTCGCACAATTTGACATCAAGTAATTTCAAAAGCAGAATAGCATACAATCAAGGAGCTTAAAGGCCATTAAATAGACCACTGTATGTCTTGAGCTCTTGATTGTACAATTAAGGCAGCAACCTCTGCCAACAGCAGGCAGCCTTTCGCGGGAACGCGACGTGTAGTGACGCGAGACAAGCAGAGATCACGTGCTCTGTCCTCAGTAATGCTACCTTAGGAAAGCTACATCGCAATTAGAGGGTTTCAAATGATCAAAAGTGATTATAAATGACTATAATTATCGCATCAAGTAAGATTACTCGAGGACTCAGATGCCTATATGTGTCTTTTGATTGCATCATGCTACCAGGCAAACATTGCTCATTGTATCATCCACACCGCCTGCGAATGGGCGGCAGAAAATGCGGGCAGCAGGCGGAGAAGCAAAGAAACAAGAGGTACGAGAAGCATACACTCATTCGCACAGCTTAGCAACTCACTTGAACTTTCTCTAGTTATCTGCTGCGTGACGAGCAGTCGACTTCATATGCTCTGTCTATACTGCGACAACTGGATGGCTTAGACGCTAATCAACCTTTGTCGATCGGCTTCAAGCTGTAGCTGGGCCTGATGGAGACCCTGCGGCAGGAGTCGTTTAAAAAGGTAACCAACTTTTAGGATGATACATGGTAGAATGCTAATGCCTTTTTGTAGCTGCGTGCTCCCTGTGTCGAGCTGAGCTCAGTCGGTCTTGGCTTCCGTGGACGTCAGAATACCCCCAACGACGTTTTCCAAGCCCTCAGTCCGGTCTACAACGTCCTCGCCCAACTCGCCGATAAAGATGCTCTGGACGAGAAGCTAGCGGAATATGCCTTTTTCCCTCTCTCGCATATCTTCAACGAGACCCAGAGACTTCCCGCGCGGACATTGGAATTGGCTGTTAATTGCCTCCGGATTCTGATTGCGAAAGGATGGCGCCGGCGCCTGTCCCCTCAATTGGGCAAGCAGCTCATAATACTGCTAACCTTGATCGTGGGCGGTGCACCAAATCAAGCCAGTGGAGGTCAGTCTCTACATTCGCAGCCCGTGGAGTTGGGTATCGCTTGTTTCAATTGCTTCGCGGCTATATTCAGTGTTTTGGAAGGGCCAGTGGCAAAGCAGACAATCTATCATGAGATCGGTACAGCCACTATCGTTGACCAGGCTGTGTACATTCTCCTCGAAGGTGTGTCGGATGGACCGTCGGACGAATTCTGTGTGGCTGCTGCAGAGGCACTTCGAGCTCTGTTCGATCGTGTCACCGATCGGGTAGTTCTAGCCAGTATCATGCCGCGGACGGTGTCGGCTCTGACAAAGGTCTTGAAGCCGACAACTCAGATACGCCGCTCATTCAGGGTACTCTCAATATGTCTACAGATTCTTACTAATTTACTCCGCAATGTCCTAAGCGACCAAGTCGCGAGTTCGGCCACGGAGGAGTCGCCCAAATCCCAGCAAGCGGACAACCAGCGAGCAGACGAGAGGGTAGTCCTGGATGGATCTTGGTTGAAAGCGACGACTACGCAGATCAGGCTAGCTCTCGCAAACATAATTCAGATAAGGCGCCATGAACGGGAGGAGGTGCAGGCTGCGCTTTTGGACCTCTGCTCGATGGTCATAGAGGACTGTTCAGCTACGCTCCACGATTCGATACCTCTCATGGTCGAGACGATTGTCATTCTGTCCATATCAGAAGATCAATCACCCAATCACGCCTACACTACTCTGAAGCACCTTGCTACCACATATCCTGCTGTTCTGGATACTCTCAAGGACTCGCTTCACACCTGGGTCACTGCCTTTCCAAGGACTATGCAAGGCAATGATGAGACGGCAAAGCAATGGGGAATCAAGCAGATATCAACAGCCTTCCAGGTACTTTCCCAAGTTCAGTCGGGATCTGATATCCTCACGAGTGCTCTCGCATCAGGCTTGTGCGATAGTGTTGCTGCTGCTGTCAACCAAGCCTCCAGGAATCCTCAGCCGGTAAATCAAGACATGGTTGAGAACCTAAGCCTGGACGTGCTGCATCGAGACAATCGGTCATTGACATTTTCCTCTGTTCTTCTGGGCCACCGCAGCCAGCAGCAGACTCTCAAGGATCTCCAATCGATGATCGTTCGTCTCAATAGCTCGGAGTCTGGAAGTGAGATTACCCGGTCCATCATCGGTCAAATGCACCGTGCCTCTGGAGATGCAGCGGTGGCTCCGTTCTGGTTGGCCATGAACTTCTTAAAGACTGGTTCGCATCTCACGGGCATCCTCGACGATTTCATATCTTTAGATCACATAGAAATATCGGTCCAGAGTCTAAGCAGTAAGGCTATGATCGAGGAGCTATATTATTACTCGTTGCCTCTTCTAGACCAATCACTGGCGGAGACCTCCAGGGATTGGCGAATTTCTGCTCTCGCACTGGAAGCGGTTGCTCTTCAAGCACAGCAACTCGGAGAGGCATTCCGCCCGGAGCTGATGGATGCGCTATATCCTGTTCTGCAGCTGCTCGCGTCAAACAACTCTAATCTTCAGAGGCATGCTATGGTATGCCTTGACATACTCACCAACTCCTGCAGATACGAGGATACCAGCACCATGATCATTGAAAACGTCGACTATCTGGTGAACTCAGTGGGATTGAAACTGAACACCTTTGATGTCTCACCCTACCCGCCGCAAGTCCTCTTCATGATGGTGAAACTGTGTGGTGTTCGATTGATTCCCTATTTGGATGACTTGGTTGACTCAATGTTTGGTATTCTGGATATGTATCATGGATACCCCAGACTTGTGGAAACGATGTTCAAGACCCTGGCTGCCATCGTCGAAGAAGGCACAAAAGCCCCGTCACTCCTCGCAATTACCAACGGCGAGGCCAAGGCTGTCGATCATCGCAAGCGGCAATACCAGAGACTGCTTGTATCTACCCTGGCAGAGGATTTGGCTGCCCGTAGAACAAAGCGAGCCAAGTACATGGATGAAGACGTGGAAGACGATGAAGAAAGAGTGTCACATCCGAAACAACCCTGGAAAGCAGATCCTGAGAAGGTCGAGAGCTTGGACGCTGACAACCTCTCTGACATCTTGAACGCGGATGAATCCGAGGAGCCACTTCCTCCACCTCAAGCGCCGGAGGATGAGGAGAAGCCGCTCAGTAAATCACACACGATTCTTCTACACATTGTCAAGTCGATACCCTCACATCTGACTTCTCCTTCTCCCTACCTCCGTCGCTCCTTACTCTCCGTCCTAATTCAAGGCTTCCCAGCCCTGGCGCAGAATGAGAACAGCTTTCTTCCAGTCATAAATGATCTATGGCCTGCCGTTGCTTCAAAGATCAGCTTTCCGTCTTCGTTATCCAGCGAGACGTCGTCGACCGCTCTCATGACGAGGGACGTGTCCACGCCGTCTACCACCGCTGTCAGCAGCAGTGGCACACGCAGAATCGAGGAGGTCGACTTCAAGGAAGAGACATTCGTAAGCACTGCCGCCTGCGAAGCCATAGAAGTCATGTGCAGGACAGCTGGCGACTTCATGGCATCCCGCGTGGAGACCGAATTCCCCCGCTGGGAGCGAATCTATCGGCGCACATGGGACAAAGTGCGTCAAGACGCAGAGAAAGCACTCGAGCGACGCGCTCACCACCAATCCAGCAACGCACACTCATCCGAGACACACGCGCCACCAGAAAGCCATCCCTCCCTACGTCTGTCTCATTCTCTATCGCTAGTCATACCAGGCTCCAGCTCCAGTTCCACTACTGGCGCTCGCGCCTTCACACCACACCATACCCTCTGGCGCGCCCTGCTCTCCCTATTCATCACCATTCTCACGCACGTCCGTCTCCCGCTATCCATGGGCGACCAAATATGCGAGTTCCTAGCCGACTGGATAACTCTCTACATCGGCCCGAACTACTACTCTCGATTCCACCTTCAAGCTGCCATTTCGGCCTCGGATATACCCGCTGCGCAACGTGCTGAGCTGGCGCCCGTCGAGACTGCCATTCAGGCCATGGAGACCTGGAATGCGGATCTGACTTGGTTCATCTTCCAGAGGCGGAAGACGCAGGCAGTCGCGACGTTGAGTAAAAGCAAGGCGGGTGATAGCACGCGAATGATCTGCGAGATTCCGGAGAACGCATTGGAGTCTTGGTCTTTGTTGACAGACCGTTTGAAATTCGCCCCGGTGGTGTTCTGATTTGTATGTGAAAAGCCGTCGTATGTAAATTACTTGTCCTACAGGAACAAATCCATGTAACGCCCCTATGGGCAGACTGCGCCAAGGCAATGCGTGCTATCAGCCTGTGAGTAGTCTACAGTGTGAGGTCGTCTACAGCGGGATTATTCTACAAGGGAAATTTGGGAAAGAGAGGAATATTGAGTGAAGATACTTGTCATTCATAGTGACGCAGCAATCAGATTAACCTCAAATCAACAAAAGACACGGCTCGTGTGCACCCTGTCAGTTGAATGAGTGTGGACATAGCAAGGTAATGACTGGAAATAGCGCATTGTGTAGAAAAAAAAGCAAGTTCCGAAGACATCCCGAACTTCACAAATAACCGAGTAGCCGATTTACCAATCTACTCGTCATCCTCGCTTTCCTCGTCATCGCTCTCAGCATTCTCGAGCCAGTCAAGGAAGGGCTCAGCAGCCTTGCGAACCTTCTTGCTGGTCGACAAGTCGACGTACTTCTTGCTGGCCTTGGATCCCCATGCCTTCAGCACATCCTCGGAGACGAGATCGTGC